CGAAAACGTTGGTCATTTTTCTACGTAGAATATTGAACAGGGGGGGGGGTGTCAAATTTCTACATAGGAAAATGATCCCCGGTCAATATTCTACGGGGGTCACTTTTCGTCTTTACACCGGCAGTTAAATCATGAATGATTCGTTCAAGGTATCACACCGGTAATTGACCAATCAAAATGAACTCAATTGTAGTTCCATACATAATAAAGAAATATTTTTTTTATTGTGAGAAATTTTTTAATTTCCCTTATTCTATTTTTACATTTTTGGTATCTGTGCTTAGGATATTTTATGTACTTTGTAAAATATTAAAGGTTTTTGACAGGAACTATTTCTTTCGGGGCATAGGAGGCCACTTCCTGGGGTGCACACAGGATGTTTATAAACACATTGAATACACGTGGTTTTGAGGGTATTCCTGTTTGCGGATGGAAAAAAATCAGAAAATGCCGTGTAGGTACCCTATTTTTTGGTGTCAGCTGATGTGACTGGTAACGTTTAACACTTCCTGCTAAATATTTTTTCATGAATTCGAATACCTGATTTTTAATGATTTTTTATTCTATATAGAATTACATAGTGAAAACAATTACCGGTGTGATACCTTGAAGGTGATTGTGTAAAATCATCTACACCCATATGAAAGGCAGTTTTAAGTTTATAAAGGCATATTTCAACAAAATATGTCATTTTATGAACTTTCTGTGTGAAAGCACATATTTTTAAATTTAGAAGTAGGGTTGACATTAATTTATACAGATTTCTATGTAAAATACTAATAATATGTCATGTTTTACCCTCAAAACTCCAAATTATGACTTTCAAAGTAGGATTATGCAATTCTGACATGTAGAAAGAAGTTAGAAAATGTTGGTTTTTTATTTTAGATGATTTTAAACTCTGTGCACCACCTGACCGCAGTCAATTATAGTGTCTACAGACTTTGTCGTAAAAGCACTTTAGGCTGATTTTTTCAAGAAAAGACTATTTCTGGGTTTGCGAATGAGTTTTCAACAAAAGCGACAACTGCGATAAAATGTGAAGAAGTAAAACATGTTTTTAAAAAGTGTTAAATTTTACAGAGACTGGGTTTACTTTCATTTTATTCACCTTAAGTGATTCATTTATTACTGGAGTGGAGGAATAGAAATAATGAAATGAGTTAAATTTGTCTTATGAAAGTAATGTACAAATAAAATTTATTAAGAATTTTTCAAAAATAAGAAGCTTATGACCAAAATTGCATAAATACTGTCAGGGCATGAGAGTGAATACTTATTCTGAGTCCCAACCATGCATCACACATATAGTACAGAATGTCACTTAGCACCATGGTATGCCTGATATGGTTCTCTAGACTTTTTCCATGCTTTCGCAGCTGACATTCAAGATTTTTCAGTTTGCCGGAGAATGTTTTTTGTCATTTTACCACTTTTATGTAGGTGTTGACCCTCTCTTTTAAATTAAGTCTCAGTCAGGATGTTTATTTTAGCATGATTTGTTAAGCACATTAATGTACTGAAATATTAATAAATTACAAATTAAAGTGATGAAGAAATTTGACATATTTACACAATCAAAATATCAGAATAACCATAATTCAGCTAATAAAGTGCCCTGTTCTTCTTTTGTCACTTCCTATAAATTTTATCAGCAGTTTTTGTACACCCACCCACCTCCAAGAATCATGGAGGATGGCCTGATATTAGTTTCTTTGTTGCATTTATTCACATTTAAAAGTGTTAAGACCCATAAAAATGTTTAAGATTTATATTTTTAAATTTAAATGTTGAATTTTTATGTAAATTTGGTGAAACAAAAAGCTGTAATCTTGAATTAATCATCAAACACCTTTGAAATTCCTGAGTAATTCAATGAAAAGAGGATAATTATGCATGTTCAATTGGAATTTCATGGCTAATTTGTGTCTGCAGAGAAAGCCAGTTACATAAATCACAACAATAAATTACATCTGAATTGTTTTCTCCATTTTCTTATCATCAAAGCAAGTTTAATGGAGTGTCAGAGCTGTTCAGAACCTCCCCAGATGCTGATATCATTTGGACTGCCCTGTGTTACAACACAGCTTTTAGATAAACTTCTGCATAGCAGGTTGTAGACAAGTACCTAGGCTTTATTTGGAACATAAATTGACCAGATGCAGATTTTATTATCAGCCTAATATTTAACAATTTCTGTAAATTCTGTCATTCTTAGGAGGGTAAAATGCAATTTTGTTATGTAATAATTGCATAATGGTCTCAGACTTGTGAATTATTTTTTGTTTGTTGTGAAGAACAGTGCATATACTCTCCACGGATACAAAATTGGTTGCCAGGCTTAGTCTATTAAGGATGAAATTCTGCTTCAAAATATGCACAAAAAACTTCTGTCAGAGTGCTCAGTGTGTATTCTTGACTGCTCTGGAGTAAGGGAGATAAATGCATCATATCTCCAGCAATAATGGGAATTAGATCCCCAGGCTTCAGGATGTTAGTGACAGTTATTTAAGAAATCTCAGGTGCAAAAATGAAAAAAATCTGACAACTTCAAAGGTCCTTCAAGGTATCACACCGGTAATTGACCAATCAAAATGAACTTAGTCAATTGTAGTTCCATACATAATAAAGAAATATTTTTTTTATTGTGAGAAATTTTTTAATTTCCCTTATTCTATTTTTACATTTTTGGTATCTGTGCTTAGGATATTTTATGTACTTTGTAAAATATTAAAGGTTTTTGACAGGAACTATTTCTTTCGGGGCATAGGAGGCCACTTCCTGGGGTGCACACAGGATGTTTATAAACACATTGAATACACGTGGTTTTGAGGGTATTCCTGTTTGCGGATGGAAAAAATCAGAAAATGCCGTGTAGGTACCCTATTTTTTGGTGTCAGCTGATGTGACTGGTAACGTTTAACACTTCCTGCTAAATATTTTTTCATGAATTCGAATACCTGATTTTTAATGATTTTTTATTCTATATAGAATTACATAGTGAAAACAATTACCGGTGTGATACCTTTACCAAAGAGAAAAATGTTATTTATAGAGACATTTTACTGAAATTTCTGTGAATTATTTTAAAAATGTTGATTTTAATGCATGCCAATTTTTAATTTTATAATATTGGTGAAACAAAAAATATTGAAAATGTTCGCGTTTTTCTGGAACATCCCTTGTAGATCCCTGCTGAAATTACAGGTTACTATTAAGGGCTAAATCTAGGTCTTTTTTGGTAGGAGCGTGCTTTAGCGATGAAGAGAGTTGAACGCCTATTATTAGATTTCTTAGCAATGTGCTATAAATAGACGATATGAAGATGTACAGTTATAAGCTCTACTGCAAATTTGATTGTACGGCGGTTCGTCATATCTCCTGCGTAATGCTTACATGGATGCAATTACATTACCGCTACATTTTCAATATAGTCATTACCGCTGCATACTCATTACCCCTCCAAAATAGTATACATTACCGCTACATTTATATTAAATATAAATTACCGCTAAACGCTTCTTCAGTTAGCCAGTGTATTTTGCACGTACACTTCTATAAAGTACATGTACATGCACAAGACCTGTTTAATCTGCTCACGCAGAGCTGAAAGCAGGATTTTGAGAATAATTTTTTCCACTACTATTCAAAATCTTTGGCCATTTCATTTCTTAGACATTTAAAAAAATGTAAATATTAATGAATGAATAATTCTACGTTGCTGCGGAAAGTTACAGACTTCTCAATATCAGTAGCCACGACACTCATGCAGTTACTGGTTGAACTAACTACAGACTCAATGAATTATATTTAATAAAACTCATACTTAATATTTGTACTTCAGCTTCACCTACATTGTGAGTGAATTAGTGAACAGAATTCATCGCAGGTATAGGTAATGAGTTGTAATCGCCAATCGTGTTATTGATAAGATGTAGCGGTAATGAGCACCCGAAATTTAGATGAAGAGTACTCTCTGAGTAATGAGTTGGATTTTTTTTTTTGCAATGTAGCGGCAATGTTGAACTCCCGCTAACATGAAGTTACCCGTTGTCATGTACATGTTCTTTGTTTTCAACCAATCAGCAACAAGGAAGACAGCCAATGAACGAAAATAATAGAATAGAACAAAGGATAGCTCAAAATCTTACGTAATGTTCATCTAACGTAATGGACAAAAAGAAACACCTTGAAGAAACGCATGACAGAACTGAAAGCATAATCGAAACATTAACAAACATTCATTTTGGCAAATAATAAATGTGCCTGAAAGGTTTTAAATTTCAGACTTGTTTGAATATAACGAACAGTAATCAAGCTCAAAAGTCCATTGAAACAATATAAATCGAAAGCAGAGCAAACGCGGATATCTAAAAGCATCAGAGGTGGAATTAGGTGCCATGGAGGAGTAAGCATCCCCTGTCTACCGGTCACATCCTCTGTGTGCTCCTTGTTATGAACGGGCAAACGGAAAAATCCGCAGACAATTCAGTGTGTAAATCATTGCCTAACAATTAGTATGTAAAACATCAGTCAACATTTGACTCAGTGATAGATTGTATTTGCTAACAAAGCCATTGTATCAACCATAGAACTTGCAAACTATTGACTTCAAATGAGTCTGTTGATATCCTTGTTTCATCAGCTTGTTTGTCAATAGCTTACCTCGTTTTAGAAAGAGCATGTTTATGGATATCGAATCAACTGGGAGACATAAACTCCAAATGCAGGTGGTAAGAACATATTGATACATAAATAAGTGAAGTTGACGATAGAAAAGTTGAAGTCATCATAATATAAGGTTAATTGATAAAATGGTAATGTTCAGAATTTTAAAAATAAAATTCCTTCTTAAAAAGCATTCAATCTGAGTTTACAAAACATATTAATTGGTACCATTGTACCCTGGAAATGACAGAGAGATGAGAAGAAATGTAGTTTAGAAAGAAAAGAACTTGTTTTGCGGAGCAAGAGCAATCACGTTTTTATTCTATACTTGCTTGACAAAGTGCAGAGCCCATGTTTTGTGATAGGCGTTGCCTGCTTCCCCTTTTATGGAACCTTTGCCTGTCAAATTGTTGTTTGTCTTCATCCATGCTGGAGCAGTCCAAGGACTTCCAAAGAACGATATATTTCTCTTACTCACGGATATTGCTCTTTGAATTAATGGTATCTTTAAAGGAAAAATATGCATGAAAAACACGTGGTCTAATTGATTCACTCATTAGGATTGAAAGAATTCAGTAGATGTAACTTGTGGAAGTTTAACAAATTTTTGACCTGCCTTCCACTTTACTTAACTTATAATTTAAAATTAATAATCATTTTGATACTGTCTCGATGACAGACTTTTTACTAATTGAACCATACCATGATAACAATATTAGCACCAGAAAAAGGTACAGAGCTTCATTAGTCCTTTCGCTACCATGTTCTTTGTGTTCTTGAATTCATACCCTTTGGGACATATTTTCTCATAAGCAATACCTCGAAGAGTTAAATTCAAAAAGGAATTATTTCAAATAGTTTTAACAAAGGCCATCAGCAAAACTGTATACTACTAGTTACTTTCAGTGACATATTCTATTCTCAAATCGGTGATCTAAAAAAAAACCTCTGTTCTTTACTACAGCATTTTCTCGTTTAGTTAACTTTCCATATATATATAGCGGATATAGTGGCTTTTTAGCAAGGTCGCAAATCTTACAAATATCAGTCGTAAGCAAATAATAACTGGTATAAAATAATCACTATTTCAATCAGTCATAAAAGTAACCTTTAAAGTAATATCTTCTTCTGCAAGCTGAAACTTGGTCAAATTGAAATCCCCGTCAGTATCATCATAAGAATACGGATGGGTAGAAAAATCGCAGCTTCCTATAGGCACGCGGCCAACCGAATATTCGATTCCTATAGAAAAGATCATTAGGCATTGCATTAGAGCTTGACATAATTTTTAATCATTCGGATCCCTTCGGAAGTAATTACGTATTTTGCGTTAAGGAAATACCATTCGAAAGCTGATAGTGGTTGCTTTATACTTATATATAGAAGTTCAATATCCGCCCAGTAACAAGTTACTAATTATCTGCATAACAGTATATATGGCTGATTTTTATGTAACAGGAAGTGATATTAATGAAAGGATACCAAATGATAAAATTTCACGCAATTTGGGTTTAGCTTTTTTTTCGAAAGTCATCCATACTATAGAAGTTCCCGAAGCTCAAGGGGGTTTTACATCAAATGCTCTACACTTGCCTGGTCGAACTGCAAGGAATGTTTCTTGAAAAAGCTTCTGGGGTCTAGCTAACAAAGTCTGCGATTAGAATATTAGTATCGTTCTTTATAAAGTATACCGTGTTAAGAGTATAGTAACTTTCACTTGCCCATTGGCCCATAATATGAGTCTATGACGTGGTTCGCTGCTGTAGTTGACAAGTTGGCAATATTAATCGCTGCTGCATCAGTAAATGCTCCTCCAAAACCAAACAGACGCTGGAAAGTCGTGTTTTTATCTACCCTTATTACAACTAGTCAAAAAAAAAAAAAAAAAAAAAAAAAAAAAAAAAAAAACCCACTAGCATTATAATTAACCTTAATTATGTCAGTATAATAGCGTCAAGTCTGTGTTTCCTCGTCATTCAAAATAAAAAAATCGACTTTATCTTATTCAATTAAAGCAGATTATTATATTAAATTATAACAATGTTACACTCAACTACATTCAATATTTATTATATTATACTGAATGTTTTATACAAATACATATAACATTGAACCTTGCGCGCATAAATTCTGCGCAGTCGCTAATTTTTTTTGGAATAACGTCCGTCATCAAGCAATGTTGACTGTTGCTACGCTGCATGGAGGGCGTGGCTTCATCATTCAGCGGGCAATAGTGTTTTTTAAACAAATATTTCTCGACGAATCAGATTCAAATAATTTACATGAAAGTATAATATTATGAAATATTATTTACACTCGACCGTTTAATAATATTATAATTTCATGTTTACTGTAGCAGCTAATTAACTTTTGTAAAAATACCGATAGATATCAATATACTAAGATAAAGAAAGGCCCATCTCTCAATAGAAGTTTCCTTACCATATAAATTTTCATCATTAACAAATTTCTAAAATTTTGTTTTGCACAGTATAGTGCTAAATTTGCTTGATTTTATTTACAATTTACGTCAAAAAATTGGCATGGATACATAAAATAAAATGGGCAGAGATGTGCTAATCTTCGCTAGCCAAGGAGAGGAGGGGAGCAGATCGTAAGCGAAGATGAGGGGCGTTCGCCCTTAATGCAGTTAAATATTTATAACGGCTGTTGTTTGTTACTGGGTACCTAGTTTTTAAACGATTTAACATTACCCATACATTTGTATAGAAACTTAAAGAGTCCATACCCAATTTGTGGCAAACAGACAACAATGTTGACAAAAACAAACTTTCTCTCAGGGGTTCACGTGTTTTTTTTTTTTTTTTTTACATATATACTTACTTCCTGTGGGAGACTGAGAAATGCTGCCGACAGTTTTATACAAACGTTTGCCGTCTCTTGTCGAGGTGTATTGTGCAAAACTCCCCATGGCCAGAGGTTCTAAGGGGTCAACGGTGTCACAGTATGTGGCGTTACAGCGGCATACAATGTTCCCCTCACCAAACGATACCTGTGAGCAAGGAAGTCCTGAAATCAAGACCTTAGTATGCATTCCCATGATTCTTCATGCATAGCACAATATTATCTGACAAACTTCTATTTTTATGCCCCCGTATCGAAGATTCGGGGGTATATAGTTTTTGCCCTGTCCGTCCGTCTATCTGTGTGTCTGTTTATCTGTTTGTCCGCAAAAACTTTAACATTGCCCATAACTTTTGATTGGTTGAAGCTATGGCTTTCATATTCACATGTGTATTTCTTGTGACAAGACCTTTCTTTGGGTACCATCATATTTGACCTTGGAGTTTGACCCAGTTTTACAAAATTTTTCCCAACTTTAACCTTGGCCATAACTTTTGAACAGTTGGTGCTAGGGCTTTCATACTTCACATGTGTAATCCTTGTGACAAGACCTTCCTTTGGATGCCAACAACTTTGACCCTTTAACCTTGACGTTTGATCTACTTTTGGAAAATTTTAACCTTGGTCATAACTTTTGAACGGTTGGTGCTACGGCTTTCATTCTTCACATATGTAATCCTTGTGACAAGACCTTACTTTGGATACCAACATGACTTTTTGACCTTGAACTTGGAGTTTGACCTACTTTTGATAAACTTTAAACTTGGCCATATCTTTTGAACGGTTTGTGCTAGGGCTTTCATATTTCACATGTGTATTTCTTTTGAGAAGGCCTTTCCTTGGGCACCATTAATTTTGACCATTAGACCTTGACCTTGATGTTTGACTTACCTTTGAAAGTTTTTTTTTACCTTTTCCATATCTTTTAAATGGTTGCTGCTAGGGCTTTCATATTTCACAGGTATATTCCTCGGGACAAGAACTTACTTTGAGTACCAACATATTTGATTTGCATTTGAGAAAGTTTAACCTTTGCTCTAAATTGCCACACGGGGGCATCAGTGTTTCACAAACACTTTTTGTTTTTTTATATTTAGATTGGGCTTTTTAGAGTAGATACAGCATTTAAACGTAGTGTCAAATATAGATTCGTGATCTAGACGCAATACAGACGCAATACAAGTTTCTGGAAAAGGGGGTGCAGAGGAAGTCCTGGGAGGGTTTCCCCCTTCTCTGAGCCAGAATTTTTTTTCATAAATGGGCAATATTTTTGGTTGTTTCTGGTGTATATTGTTAAAGTAATGCTTTCAAATATTAAATAAAATCTAGCATAATTAATGAATTTATTTTGTTTAAAAAATGATACTTTCGAATGTTTCTTTTTGTCACATAATGACAGAGCTTACATGATGTTGCTCCAAACCTCCCTTACTTAATTAACAACAAAACTTCTTTTTGCCTTAAAATTTACAATATAATAAACAGAAATATACATATGTACAACATAATCTGTATCGAAGGTGTCGCAATTGGCTGTCACTGATTGTCCTTAATCCATACGAGAGGCCTCTCCAGACTGAGCTGGAGACACAGCCTCCTATTCCTTACTGCCATGGAAGCTTAGACACCCTCTAAAGTGCCGAGAAGGTTAATGACTTGAGTCTAAGACTAACGTTGAGATGTGACCCGTATCTGGAGCCAGGACATCGATCAGTACTGACTACAGTGAGAAGTGGGATATTTTATATTTCTTTGTAAACATATGGAGAAATGATGTACAGTTTATTCATGAGGTTGCTCCCACGTGATTTACTTCTCATTAATATTCATAAGATCCTGCATAAACTTGAAATATTCCATTTCTTTAAATTTTTATATTAAAACCTGCAAGCACAGTTTGTTTTGTGTTAAGCATCCGTCATATTTATTTGGGCAGAATTTTGGGTTATTAACAGTTGTCAACTCATGAAACCATCTTTTTTGTAATAAGTAGGCCACACTGATGCAAGAAATTGCCGTTTTCAAATTAAAAAGGCGGTCGTAACTCTTCATGAAATGATAAATCATCTGTATTTTATAAAAATAGGTATTCGTCTGCACCTATTAATCGGCGGAAGAACTCTGTCAACTTGCAATAAACACTTACATTTAATCACCAAAAATGATAAAGACACAAATTCTGTGCTCTTTCCTTCAATAAAACATTATACTCTCGCTTCGGAATTTCAAATCAAAAAGGCGGTGGCAACTTTCACTTTGGCATCAACAATATTCACCCGGAACACATCGGGCCTTTCACAGAAAAACACCCGGAAAACCTCGGGCCTTTCACAGAAAAACACCTCGAGGTGTTTTTCTGTGAAAGGCCCGAGGTGTTCCGGATGCAACAATATTGTCATTTCCGGTAGAAGATATCAAGAAAAATCTAAACATCGGCGGAAGAACTTTATCCGAAATAGTTAGTATATAAAAATCTGCGGTTTTTGTTCGCTCTCTATATAAACCTTTATGGAATCTGTCGCCATTGTAGCTCAAATATGGCCGATATGTAAATGAGAAGAATGAACAACATTTCTCCATATGACATTTGATACCCCATTGTGGCCCCTCCCTACCCCCAGGAGTAATCATTTGAACAAACTTTAATCTACACTGCCCGAGGAAATTTCACCATGTTGACTTCATAAGGGGTAATTAATTGTATATTATATTTTGCGTTATTACATTTTGCGTTGATATCGCTTCAAACCTCCCGACAGCCTTGCAAGCCAATCCATTTTCGTTTTTCTTTTGCTATGTACACTCAGATTCCACGGTTTTCAATTGAAAGTTTAAATTAAGTCTCAGTCGTCGATCATATGATTCGAATCACAGCCAGGAGTCGTGCGGCAGTTTTATCAATAAAGGCAATAAAAAATATGTCCAATGAGCTTTAGGAACTCGCTTATCCTCACAACATCAATGAGTCTGTCTACTAGTGAGTCTGTCTACTAGTGAGTCTGTCTGTGACAAACTTGATTCGTTTTATTTTTCGGGCCAGTTTCTCTCATTGGAAAAAAGCAATCAAATTGGGGCCATCATAATTTGACATAACATGTAAACAGAAAGGAAGCAGATGCACATGTTACAAGAAATTGGAAAACAATCTGGATTGCAACTTCCCAAAAGACGTCGCTGCAGTCAGCCCATGAAAGATTAATGAAGTTTTTCAGGGGTCCCACACTGGACTCATAACCTCTGATATTTTGAGGATGGAGTTCACGGGGCTGTTGTTGTTTACATTTGTAGACCTTAGTTGATAAAACTGCCTACTCCTGTGATTCGAACTCACCACCCCTTCCACTCAAGAGTTATAGGTATTGTAGATTCGTATAGCTACATAGCTCCAATAAAGCGTTTAGAATATCAGTTAATCAAGATTGTATACATGAAGGGGTACTATAATGTCTTGCTTACCATCAGTAGCAATTCCTTTCCCTATTAAAAAGAAAGCAATGAAATGTATTAGGAGACGGAAAATTGCAGCTGTTTGCATCCCAGTGTTTGTGAAAGCATACGATGACATTCAGTATTTACAAGAGATAATCGTTGATATATATTCACTATATTTAAAATCTTTATCTCCTAGTGTAAGATTATCACAGTGTTGTTTACAAATAAAGATAGGAATAATTTGCATTACATAAAATTATTGATCCAGCGACAGCGTAATTATGTGTCATTTGATATTGCAGAAAAATTCGCAATCTTCTTCACTAATTTAAAGTACCTTACTTCAAACTGTTTATAACGAATAATTGTTTTTAATTATCATTACAGCGAAATAAACAAAATACAGCAAAACAAAACAAAAATTTCAATTGTCCATGCAAAGGTTGCATTCAGAATTTCAGAAGAAATGACCTATATAGGAGAGAACAATATCCCGAAAAAGGCTAATGGCAAAATCAATGTCCATTGGTTATTTTCTACCGTTTATAATTTTTATTTTTCAAAATTGCATTTCGAACCTAGAATTTTTATTTGCAATTTTAAAATTAACCTTCAAAGATAGCTAAAACAGCATTTTCCACGTTAAAGCACCCGTATTTGCATTAATTTTGGCCTAGAAGTCCTGCCCCTAAATAAAATGATACGTTGTGGTTCGAATCCACCTGGTGCCACAATTTTTTTTAATTCTTGCCTTTTTAAACAGTTTTATTCATTTTTATAAGGGGTGGAGTATTTTTCTTCAGTTATTCACCTTCAGTGAGAGTTCCCAGTTCATTCTTGATATTAAGGATATTAATAAAGAGAAAGCAAATCGTAATCTAATTCTATGTATATGTAACTAAAAGGGATGTCAGTTTTTAAATATTCGCATTCTGACGTCCACGTTGCGGGATCGTGGTAAATTACGTCTATTAAAGAACATACACATGCCAAGAAAATCTACATGAAATGGGGGGGGGGGGGGTGTCAGAAATTCTCATCTAAATAGTCTATAAAAGAATGCAATATGTATGTAAACAACAAATAATACCCGAATCAAGCGACAAAAAAGCAGAGGCGTAAATCGAAGGATATTACAATGTTTGGATCTGTAGCTCTCCGAATTTTCTCAACCACAGAGCTATAGTTCTGTAGCTAATGGGGCGTATATCTCTCTTTTGACTCGATACGCAAGAGCATGCTCTACCTATGAACAATTTCTAAAACGAGGTAAGTTATTGACAAACAAGTTGATGAAACAAGAATATCAACGTCTCGTTTATAAAGTCATCATTTCATATGTTCTATCTTCGAGACAATGACCTTTTCAGCAAATACAATCATCATCAATATACTGACTGACGTTTTTCATACTAATTGTTAGGCCATCATTTACACACTGATTTTTTCCTATATTTTCCGATCATGACAACAGGCATACAGCGGGTTATTCCGAAATAATGCTGACGTGTTCACGATTTTGATATTTTACGTGCCAGGAAAACGTCAGAACCGGCGCCATTTTGAAAAGTGGAAATTCGCCGCCTCCAACCGGAATATAAAGTGTCTGGTGAAAACATTTTATCAAGCTGTTGACATTTGTATTAGATTTCGTGCTTCTTGAAATCTCGTGAGACCTGTATCGAAATTTGGAGTTATATTTTCTTTTAAGCGATATTGGTGAGAACTAAAGGCATTGTGCTACTGATAAGTTGTGAGTTTGACATTTAATTCGATTTGCAAGTATCGAAAATCGAGTTCATAATGGCGCCAGTTCTGACATTTTCCCGGCACGTAAACTATCAAAATCGTGAAAAAGAGCCTGGAAAACGTTAGACATTTCGGACTGACGGCGGGTGTGACCGGTTGGGAGGGGATGCTCACTCCTCCATGGCACCTGATCCCACTTCTGATGTTTTTGGCGGTCCGTGTTTGCTCTGCCCCCGATATGTATTGTTCTAATGGACTTTGAGATAGAATACTGTTCGTTATCCCCATATTTAATTCACGCTGTGTCACTCCATACAGCTATTCTTGTCTACATTGGGCTCAGTGGATTTCTATTGTCTATACATCACCAGAATATTTCCTTTTATTCCGGCTGTACTATTATAAGTACTTGTCTGGGTTATTGAGTTGGAACGTGTGTATACTATGGTATACGCAGTGCTTGTATTTTTTTAGCTAAATAAATTTTACAATTACGTGTACTTTTGAAGTCAGTGGTCTAAATAAGATACCAAATTTTTAAACAGTAGGATTGCATATCAGTAGCTGCACTTGGATTTTATCTATATAATTTGCATACATCAATGACATACAGTATTCCAAATTATTAAGCTGTCTGAGGCTTGGGGCATGAGTAATAACCCCTTGAAAGTTTGGTTAGAATTGCTCGTGTTTCTTGGGAATGAAAAATGTGAAATTTATGTCACACAGCTTACAGCAAACAATCCTTGATTAGAAACACATAGTTGAACCAACTTTGAGTAAGCTAAATGGGTCACTAGCTAAAAGTGATTAGGGTAATTGTCTTATTGATGCAAGTAAGTGCAATATATATGCATGGATTTCTCATTTATACTTAGCTGTATGACCACAGGTGTTCCAGTATTAACATTATTAATCAGGATGGACAGGCCAAGTCATTGAATCTGAGCATTTTTATTGATTATTCATAATACGTATCAATTTTTTAAATATAGGAAAACAGAAGTCTCCAATGAGACTGAAGGTCTACTGGTGTATTTTAGTGAAGTCTACTTGCGTAAAAAGTCTAATTAGACTAAAACTTAGGAGGAGTAGCACATTAAAATAATAATTCGAAGAAATTCTTTTTTGGTAACCATGGCAACATCTTTCATCATATCAAATAAATCAAAAAATGGAACAATGCATCTTTATGTTGTCATACTGTGTACCAAATCTAGACCAAAACTACAGGAGCAGTGTTTTGAAAGAATTTCCAGGAAATTTCTATTTTAGTAACTATGGTAACACCCTTCGTCAAAATAAAAAAAACTGATATACATGTACAGAGTTATGTATCTTAATGTAGTCTACTTATGTACCAAGTCTTATCGAAATTGGATCAAAACTGTAGGTGGAGTAGTATTTAGAAAGAATTTCAAGGAAATTTCTATTTTCAGTAACCATGGCAACACCATTCATTGAAATTAAAAAAAACCAAAGAATAGAATTATATATCTTAATTTAGTCTACTTATGTACCAAATCTTATTGGAATTGGACAAAAACTGTAGGAGGAGTAGTGTTTTGAAAATTTTTAAAAGAAATTTATTTTTTTAGTAACCATGGCAACACCCTTTGTTGAAATCAAAAACCGATTCATAGAATCGTGTATCTTTATGCAGTCTACTTGTATACCAAGTCTTATTGAAATTGGTCCAAAACTGTATGCGGAGTAGCGTTTTGAAAAATTGTTTACAGACAGATGGACGATGGACACCTTACCAATGCATAATCTCTTCTGGTCTCTGACTAGTATAGCTAAAAAGGCAGCACTACTATTCATTTAATATTTTGAACATTTTCAGAAGCAACAAACCATTCATTTTGAAAAATTTCACTGTCAGCTTCAATTTTATCATTCTCCTGAGATGATGAAGGAAAATCATCACTTTCATTTCTTTCACTTTTTTCTTCATTTCTATAATTTTTTACTAAGGCTTGGAGAAGTTTAAGTTTTTCAGCTTCTTTTTCAATAACACCATGCATTTGAACAGTGGTATCTGGAGATTGGCTTTGTTGATCATGGTAGATTCTGTACAGTTTAAGAAACTGCCCTTGAAACCTGCTGACATATCTATTTTCCTTCCTTCCTTTGTCAATATAATGAAATGTATAAAAATCCAAATGGTTATCCTCTTGCTCTCTACTTGGTTTTGAAACTGGGACAGGTAAATTTTCAATTCCTCCAGCATTATGAAGAAGCTTTATTCTCTCAGTCTCTACCATCTGCTTTAGCTCTGGGTCAATGGGACCTCTTCCTATCTTGTAACCTGCCACTAGCAAATGCTGCCACTTTTTTAATATTTTTTTGTCATGTTTAGTAATTTCTGAGGGAGTCAAAGTTCTATTTCTATGTCTCAGAAGTTTTCTGACATTTTCAGCGCTAATAGGGAAGCTTTCTGCTATCTCCTGGAATGACCAGTTTTCTTTGGTACAAAGGTAAATAATTTGTTGTTTTGCCTGCCATGTTAAAAAACTTGGCTCTGGTGTGCTTTTCTCATACTTTCTGCAAAAGATGCTCTTTTTTGTTCTCCTATTTTCATATCTGGCAAACGGAATAGAAAAGACAAATTTTGACATAAATTTATGCAATCTTCTGAATACATAGTCATATAATTTTAACAACCAAATATCTGAATAACTGATCAGTTCTTGAATGCATGACTTACAAGCCTAATTAGGAATATATCCAATATTTACATTTGCTTTGTTTTTCTACCAAGCCAACTGTGAAATTGATTTGAATGCCATATTCATGTATACTCACGCGTAGAAATATGCACGGAGAAACTCACACTAAAGTTCATTTGCATACATGTAACAGTTAATACTTCAGTGTGTGCATACTAAGTGCCTTATGATTGACAATAGATCAAAGGCACCAGAAATTTCATCAATAAGTTAATACTATACATATATTGACTGGGTTCAAGAGCAACATGCAGTTTGTCAAGCCCAAGAACCAAACTGTTTGCCTGTGGCTGTTTGGCATCAGGCAAACAGTTTGGTTCAAGGGGTCACAAATGGTTCCACCCAGCAATTGCATTTTGCCGAAAACACAGTCAACAAGTATTTAGTTATACCTTTTATTGTTTTTTTTTTGACATACATTATCTTGTGCTGGTTTCCCTGACGTAAATTTCCTTTACCCACACTGCAGTAAAACTTGGTAAATTCATCCATGAATGCAAATAATATTAAGCTGATTCCACCCACAGTGTGACATAAGCGATAAATATCTCATCGACAGGTCTAATATATCATCGACAGGTCCAATTTCTCACTCTGCGATCAAACATCGATTTTTTTTTATGACCGCTCAGTAAAACATTTCATACTTTTTTGTACAGTTTTATAAAGGAACCAATTTTTAAAGGTATAATAGTCATATTTATTAATTTTTAGTCCCAATGATCTTGCCTGAAGTGTAGTTCAGTTTGAATTCACCTCAAGATTAATTTCAGTATTTCCCTCTTAATTTGCTAGCATTTTTATTGACTTATCAAATTGCATCTTTGAAAGCATGTATCAAGGTAAACTTAAAAAGAGGCCCATGGGCCACAATGCTCACCTGAGTCAATATGGCTTTGCTGTTCTTCATTAGCATATTTTTCTATTATATATTCCTATGTAAAACTTTGATCGCTATTGTGACCCCACCCTACCCTTGGGTGTCATGATTATAGATGTTTATCATGTAGCCCCATCCTACCCCTTAGTGTCATGATTTGAACAAACTTGAATCTACACCACCTCAAGATACTTCCATATCAATGTGACTAAAATGGCTTTGCTGTTCTTGAGGAAAAGATTTTCAAGAATGTTTTCATACATTCATATGTAAAACTCTGATAGTGCATTGTGGTCCCCCTCCTACCCCAGGCTTGGGGGCCACAAAACTTAGATGAGCTCACTTTTGATCTCAGTCTCACTTTTCCACTATTAATTCCTTTTGTAAAAGTGAGACTGAGATCAAAAGTGAGCTCGTCTAAGTTTTATGGCCCCGAAGCCAGGAGTTCATGATTTGAACAAACTTTAATCTACACTACCTGAGGATGTTTCCATATCAATATGACTAAACATGGCTCTGCTGTTCTTGAGATTTTTTTCAATATATTCCTATGTAAAACATTGATCCCCCATTGTGCCCCCCCCCCCCCTTCGATCATCATGACTTGAACAAACTTGAATCTATACTACCTAACAATGCTTTCATATCAATATGACTAAATATGGCTTTGATGTTCTTAAGAAAAATACACATGTACTCTTAAAGATTTTTTCCTATCAATTCCTATGTAAAACTTTGATCCTCCATTATGGCCCCATCCTACCCCCAGAGGGTCATGATATGAACAAACTTGAATCTACACTATCTGAGGATGTTTTCATATCAATATGACTACACATGGCTTTGCTGTTCTAGAGAATAAGATTTTTAAAGATTTTTTTCCTATATACTAATAGTATGCTAAACTTTGATCCCCCATTGTGACCCCACCCTACCCCTGGGGGTAATGATTTGAACAAACTTGAACCTACACTACCTCAAGATACTTCCATATCAATATGACTCAACATCGCTTTGCTATTCTAGAGAAGAATTTTGAAGATTTTTCCTGCATACTCTGATTCCCCATTGTGGCCCCACCCTATCCCCAGGGGTCATGATTTGAACAATTTAGAATCTACACTACCCCACGATGCTTTCATGTAAGTTTTAGCTTTTCTGGCCCAGTGGTTCTTGAGAAGATTTTTAATGACCCCACACTATTTTTGTCTTTTCTTGATTATCTCCCCTTGTAAGGGGGATTGGCCCTTCATTTTAACAATTTAAACTCCCCTTCACCAAAGGATGCTTTGTACGAACTTTGGTTAAAATTGGCCCAGTGGTTCTTGAGAAGTTGAAAATGTGAAAAGTTTACAGATGGATGGATGGATGACGGAAAACAGGTGATCAGAAAAGCTCACTTGAGCTTTCAGCTCAGGTGAGCTAATAAAAGGGGAGGGGGGGGGGGTGCATTATAGAAGCAAGGTCCTGTCCACAAGTATCAGTGGAAGAGGAGTATTAAAAATCAATAGTCAGTGATTGTAAAATGTAGTCTTATGTTGAAAAACCCATCCCCCTTTATAAAAACACCTTCGTGTTTTCACATATAAAAGAGATGGTAATTTTAAACCCATGCAGATATCGTTGTGTAAGTTATGTTATCTATAGAGCAATCTGATTAAAATCATATCCTCGATGCTCCTTTTTAATGATATATCATTTCAGTGCTACAAAACTATAGCATTGACAAAAATTTCACACTTCTTAACCCTGTGACCTTGTTCATATGAACTTAGTTTAGGCTCAGGTCATGGCAATCTGATTAAAACAGACATGATTCTTAAGTCAAGTGAAAAAAGCAGATTATTAGATGACCCCTAATAGGCCGGGGGTCTGGGGGCCGCCTAGGCTCCCTTAAGCTCTGGGGTAAATGGTGCAAAATCCTGCATTCTGAGCATTTCCTGGCACTTGGTTTTCACTCTGAAATTATCTTTTTAAGGAAAAAAATTACGAATGTTACTTATTACCAATGTTTTACCATAGTCTTCAGGGATTGAAATTAACTTTTTTGACCACTAGCAAAATTTAGCTAGTGGATTTTTTTCTTACTAGCAATATTGAACTTTCACTAGCATTTTTCTTCTCAAAGTAATTAACATAAAAATTATTTGAATATTATCAAAGAAAACTAATACATGTATACACCTTGAAAGCATTTAGGGTGTTTTATACAAGACGTTCTGCACAAGATGAAATTAGCGTAAGCTTCAAAATCTGAATGGATACAAGGGTGTGATATTAAAAAATTCAAGCACTAGCCCACGGACTACAGGCAGCAATAAAATCACTAGTCCCAAGTAAAAAGTTAGTAGCTCAAATGTAGATAAAAAGTAACAACTAACACTGAAAGAAAAATAGTTTATCGTTGCAAAAGTCAGGGTCTTGAGGCATTCTTCTTATTAACATTAAAGTTTAATTCTCACTAGAAAAATTGAACCGTATATAAACCAATAATAACGATTGAAATTAAAAAAAAATTAATTTACATAAATTATCTTCCTTTTTTCTGGTCATTGTACTAGCTCATTTAAATTGAAGCGAAATTTTTTTGTGTGTCATCTTGAACCATTAAATACACTGGAAATATATTTTTAGTAAAACACATAACACTTTTCCTCTAATTGATTGAGTGATCGTACATAAGTTAATGGGATACGTTACATGTATTTACCATAAAAAAAAAGAAATGGAGGAAATTCGGATTAGGAAAAAACGATTGTTTTTGGAAGTAAATAAGTCAGGTAGTAGTGCAAAATGGTTAAGATTATGGAGATTTACGAACTATTGGAGCATGCTACCTAGACATTTTTCATTGTCTGGGAATTTAATCTGTTAACAGCAAAGAAGGAATGAATGAAAATACCTGTAGTGCTTTTCATGTGTATTACATGGTAATAAATTTTTAATTTTTACTAGCCCGAGGGGCTAGTCCGACCCCAAAAAATGGTAGACTCGGGCATGGGGGGATGCTAATTGCACATCCCTGGGATAAACAAAAAAAAAAACCGAAATAGACATTTTTTTAATACTCGCAAAAGTTGGCGACCGCAGGTTGTGTTTAACCCGCAATTTCTGTTTTTAACTCGCATTTAGCGAGTATTTCCCATTAATTTCGACCCCTGAGTCTTTGACACATTCGTTTTATCAACTCACATCATCTTTCATCTGTTATTTCATCAATTTCACCTGTTACAGCAATTGACATTTTCAATAAATCTTTCAACAACTGGCTGAATAAATACTTTGAACGACATCTTTAATGATTTCGATTCTCTAGACTTCTTTCACATTGTACAATTTTCGCATCCATTACCGCGATGGGTGCTTCTAGTAAAACTTCCAACGATTGGTTGAAGTAATGTTTCGAAAATCCAAGAACCAATGAAATTGCACGCTTTATTTAATCAATAAAATAGGAATAAAGTGAAGCAAAAACAGTATAATCAGAAAATACCGAGATTCTTAAAAAAGCGGAATACGAATTTTAAAGCGGATTAAGCAAATTGGAATAGTGGAATTTCGCTTTGTAGTGGAAAAAAAACATGCCTGTTAAAATCAGATCCTTGTTGCTCCTTTATAACGATGTCACTTATGAGCGTTAAAAAAGAGCAACGAGGATCTGATTTTAATCAGATTGATAAGCGTCATATCGTTAAAAAGGAGCTACGAGGATCTCATTTTAATCAGTTTGTATATAGAGGGGTTGGGATTTTGGGGATTTCTAGGCATAATTTTGAGCTACAGACACGTGCCATAAGTATTCGGTCAACATGGCGTCTTGTTTACGTATGAAAACGAAAGTACATACTTTGAGTCTCCAGTTTTTCGAAAATACACGTCATTGATGACGAAGTGTTCCAGATTTAGATTTTTAGTCACATGATGTATCACATGATAATTTGTTGTCGTCTGTAGTTTAGCGTAAGTTGTCAGAATCACGAATTTGAAAATATGGGTAGAAAAGGGCGAGAGCTTGGGATGGAGGCGAAAAATATCATTATAGATTTGATACAGAACGGTCTATCCCGTCACAAGGTCAGTGAAATGTTGAAAATTCCAAAATCAACTGTTATCGATGTAGCAAGAAAGTTTTTTACCACGGGGTCAGTGGAAAACAAAGCAAGAAGTGGGCGACCAGCGAAAGTGAAAGAAAGGGATTATCGTGGTTTGGAAAGGCTCGTGAAAACGCATCGTCGGGAATCATTGACTGACATTACATCAAAGTTTAACGAAGGCAAGACTGAAACTGTAAGTAAGCGGACTATTCAGCGTCATTTACATAAACACGAATACAGAAGGTGTGTGAGTAAGAAGAAACTCGTAGTGAAGGAAGTTAATCGTCGAAAAAGACTTGCATGGTGTAGAGAGAAAAGGAGGTGGACAGTTCAGAATAACTGGAATAAAGTAATATTTTCTGACAAGAGCAAAATTATGATTGGACATGACCAGTGAGTTCACATCTGGCGCAAGAGAAACGAAGGTTGGAGACCCGATCTTGTTCAACCCCGGACATCGCAACCCAGGTACGAAGTAATGATATGGGGCTGTATCTCTTGGAATGGTGTGGGGACAGTTACACCGGTAAATGGAAACATTAATGCAGCAAAATATCAGGACATTCTGGAAGAGAACCTGTGGCCAGTGATAGCTAGACATTTTCCTAGGGGTGGATATTTCTTCCAGGACGACAATGCCCCCGTTCACCGGGCCAGGTCTACCCAAGAATATATTGCTCGGAATGGCATAAACTGCTTAAGTTGGCCTGCCCAGTCGCCAGATATTAACATTATAGAGAACCTTTGGTTACTGGTAAAAAGAAAGCTTCAGGGACGTATATCCTTTATTAAATCTAAAGACGATCTCGTGGAGGAAATTCGGGGCATTTGGACAAGCATCAGACCTGAGTATGTTCAGAACCTAGATACAAGTCCATACCAAACCGCATATTAAATGTAATCAGGCTCAAGGGACATCTAACGAAGTATTAAGAAGTAAGTTTAACATAAATTATTTTTTTATTAGTTTATTTTATTATAGCGAATGTTTGAAAATTGATACTTTCGTTTTCATACGTAAACAAGCCGCCATGTTGACCGAATACTTATGGCACGTGTCTGTAGTAATCTCATTTGTATACGAATAATTCAAAAATCCATTTAAAATATTTCTTTGCAATAAAAAAGATTTAAAACCTTTCATGTTCAAAGGTCTCTATAATTCCCTCTACAGGGTCCAATTCATATCCCTCGTGGTTGAGAGTCTGACTTTCTCTCCTTTCTCTTTCCATCCTTTTCATCATGTCATCCACTCTCTTTCTAGTAAACTCCAAATGTTGTTTTTTATCAGCTGATCGGGACATGTGCCTCATTGGAACAATAAAATTAGCTCTATTTGCAAATTTGAGTAAACTCATTCTTACATATTTGACACTGTTGGCCATCTTTAGAAACTGGTGCCCATGAACCAGTTTTCAATGACAACAGACAAGCGATAAATCTAGTACTCCCGACTCTCACCATCCTCGCAAGCCAGGTCCTGAGTCAACACGTTGCCGTTGGTCCAACGGCAACGTATTGACTCAGAACCCCTGGCTTGCGAGGATGGACTCTCACGGATTTCGGTTTTTCATTGTTGATATCTTTATTATCGATGCACAGATTTTCAGGCACATTTTCTAGGTTGATATAAAAGCGTATCAACAAAATTACGTGTACTATGCTGAAACCGAAAATAGACATCGGTACCGAATATCGAGAAGTGGACAGGCTTTCGCCTACAGGCGAAAGCCTGTCCACTTCTCTAAAGCAAATAACCGAGACCTGAGGCATATGAATTATATATAAGATCAAGTAATTTAAATATAAGGGGAAGACAGTTTGATTCTGAAAAGGGGGGGTCTGGCATTTTTTTTGGAGTCAGATTATTTTATTTTCATGCCAGTCTAGGACAGATTATTTTTATTTTCCTCTCCACTGAAAAAAGTTTGACAAGGAAAAAAAAAAAAAAAAAAAAAAAAAAAAAAAAAAAGGAAATGCTCAAACTCGGAAAACTCTATTTCGTGGAGGGGATGGGGTGGGGTGTATAGCACTACTCAAAGACAGATTGTACTATAGTACACAGCAGAATATAGCTCTTTAAAAACTTTGCACCGAATGACAAAGTAATTGCCCCCCGCTTATACGAAAGCGACGGGACATTAAATCTCTTTCATCTGTCTGTCAGTCTGTCTGTCACAAAAACTTTAACCTTGATCATAACTTTTGCATGAGAAGAGATAAGCTTAAGGCTTTCATATTTCACATGTACACCTGTGACAAGACATTTCCAAATATACTATGATTTTTTTTACCCCATGACCTTGAAGTTTGACCTTCTTTTCAAAAAGATTTGCAAACAAGGCGAGCACAATGCCTATAGTGCAACAAACATGAAGGTGAAAAATCAGATCTCAATTAAAACAAATGTTCTTTGATAATTCATCTAAAATTAAAGTATACTTTATATAAAGTCTCCACAATTTGCAAGAATCTGATGAAGATTGAAATTATTTTCTTATGAAATAGCATAACACACACTAGAGAGGGCAAAAAGGATCATTTTCTCATTTACTATAACACAATTTTTCGATATGAGTGAGTCTTCGCTCCATATATTTCAAAGTTGAGAAAAAATTACATTTTTTGATCAACAAACACATGGAGCAACGACCCACCTATACTTTTATATACATAATACAATTTTATGACACAACATTCGCATCTTTCCGAGAAATACTTGAAGTCAATTTATTCAAGGGACATATCACAAACATGAATTAAATGCCACAGTTTATCAAGAGCTGTGCGTGTAGCGTAGTAGTAAGCGTGTTAATCTCAAAGGAAAATGATTGTCAGGATTTTTATTGCTAGGGTTCGAGCCCCACGAGTACCACATATTTTTAAATAACAGAATACTAGTAATTTTTGCGGAGAAATTTTTTCTCCGAAAAGTTTGTTTATCATAATTTCATAAATCTAAATAATATGAAAACTTTTCTCTAAATACTAAATTCACAAATTGATTGTGATTTTTATATCTATCTGAAGCTATAGGCATTCTGCTAGCCTTGTTCACCCATCTCCTTTAACATTACTTTAAATTGGTCATAACTTTTGAAAAAGAAATATAGGGCTTTTATATTACACATGTATATTACCTTGACAAGACCTTTACTATGATTTTTTAACCCTTGACCTTGAAGTTTCACTTCTTTCAAAAAAATGTTATCTTAATTTGCTTATATCTTTTGATTGAAAAGAGATATATTGCTTTTATTTTTGACATGTGCTTTATCGGTGACAAAACCTTTTCAAATATACTTTGATTTTTTACCCCTACACCTTGACCTTGAAGTTTGACCTACTTTTCAAAATTTTTAACATTACTTGAAATTGTTCATAAAATTTGAATAAGAAATGATAGGGCTTTCGTATTACATATGTACATTACCTGTGGTAAGACCTTTTTAAATATACTATGGTTTTTGGCCCCTTGACCTTGACTTTGAAGACTGGTGTACTTTTCAATTTTTTTTTCTATCTTTCCTTATGACTTTTGACAGAGAATAGATAAGGCTTTCATATTTGACATGTGCATTACCTTTGGCGAGGTATTTCCGAGAATGCTTTGATTTTTGACCCCTTGATCTTGACCTTCATGTTTGACCCAATTTTCAAAATTTAAACTTTGGTGATTACTTTTGAATGACAAATGATAGGGCGTTCAAATTTATCAAGTGCATTACCTGTGTCAAAATGTTTCCGAATTTGCTATGATATTGACCCCGTGACCTTAAACTTTAAGTTTGACCTAATTTTGAAACATCTTATCAATGTCGCCAATTTTTGAAGGATTGAAGATAGGGCATTCATATTTAATACGTGCATTACCTGTGACAAGCGTTCCCGAATGTACTATGATTTTTAACCCATGCCCTTGACCTTGAAGTTTGACCTAATTTTCAAAATTTTTTAAAATTGTTGATAATTTTTGATTGAGAGAAGATATTGCATTTACAATTGACATGTGTATTACCTGTTTCAAGACCTTTTCGACTGTATACTCTGGTTTTTGATATTTTTTTCACAGGTGCTTTACTTGTGACAAGACGTTTCGGATTTTTGACCTCATAACCTTGATATTGAAATTTGATGTCTTTTTGAGAAGCTATACTAGCTCTTTGCAATAACGGTTATCAATTCAATAATTTATGTCTTTTTTGTATAATGCACAGACAAACAAGACAGTTACAATATGCCATAAATAATGGCATCCCAGCCACTAAGGACCGAAAGCGGGGGACCACAATTCTTTGAATTTGCTTGTTTACATGCAATCTAGAGCATTATAGATTAAATATATATTGCTATTTAATTTTAGTCACTTTGATTCGGAATTACGGTAAATTAAAGTCTACCCCCATTCGCTATTTAATTTACTCTCGAAGAATTTTTTTGCTGGGCCGGGATTGTCCGGAATCGGCAGTAGGATGAGTAGTAGTTTTACCGCCTGTCGCAAGATCACGATAACACTAAAATCATTACAGTCGCAAGACTAAAGGAGAGATATGGATAATCACAATATTGCAGTGATTAATTTGTAGGTTCATCACATGTCAAGATGTAGCATAAAATTATGGCCAATAAAAACAATACCTTCAGCTAAAAACTGAAGTTTTAATCAGTAAACAAATTTATTTTAATACCAAGCTTATTATACAATAGACTAAAATATATTTTAGAGTAAAAATATTTAAAAGATTAATTAGATGAGATATCAAAGTATACTTTTGATTTGATGCTTTTAAAAATTATTATTATTCGATTATCCCTAGCATATATAAATAGGATGACCTATACGGCTATATCGGTTGATTAGTCACTTCTGTATTTAACTTCCGGTAAAAACAAAATTGGAAAAAAACATCATAAAATAATATGTTGTTTTATTCAAATATCTCTGTATTTAAGATTTTATGAGATGGATGTAAAGACAGTCAATACGCAGTCACAAGGGTCTTTTCCTATTCCAACATATGTCCTTGATGATTTATGCAGGTTAGCAATTTTGCTTATATTTCGAATTTCCTCGAATTCTTGAACCACTTTCTCAGATACTTTGATGTTTTATGTATTATACTAAGATATTATTTTCTTCCAGTCGATTCATTATAAATATCCCAGATGAAGAAAGACAGGATTTGATCCGAGTGTTCTTTCAGATAGAGCTGGCTCATTGGTTTTATTTGGACTTTTATTGTGCCGAAAATCCAGAGCTCAGAACATGTGGAATTAAAGATTTCTCGGCACAGAATATCCTTACTAATTTTATATGTATAATCTTTATTCTAATTATGAAACAGTCGTGAATTAAATCTAAAGGACATGGGTATAATTTAAAATACATCTTCTCAATCCAAGAGTTTTTGGTCTACAAGCAGGGAGCATATAGGTGACCGAAAGTCATTGGTTTGCAAAGATGGTATCAATAATATATATATATATATATATATATATATATATATATATATATATATATATATATATATATATATATATATAAAACAGGAGAAAAATGCAATGGACCAGACCGGGATTCAAACCCGGGCCCCCTGAATCTCCAGTCAGGTGGTCTACCAACTGAGCTGTCTGGCCACTTGCGATCAAAACTATCTGACCGCCACATTCCTCTCTCCTTAAAGGTCTTCAGTTTCCCCCAAAGACACCAACCCAGGCTCTTCTCTGGCAGGTCTTTCACCTGTCACATCCTGATCATGGCACTAAATTAACTACTGCCAACAACTCCTTATAAGTGATAATATCTGACTTGGGATTTATTCAAAGTCCTACTTGCAGTAATTTCTCCTCACCATTTTGTACTTGAGATAGAGCAGCACCTAATCCTGTCAAACTAGCATCTGTATCTGAGAGGAACTCTGAGGTACTATCAGGATAGGCTATTGATGATAAGAAGTGAAGGAATGTCTAAAAAAAAGCCTCTTAAGTTCATCTTTGGACAGGTCTTGCAATGTCTTAACTTTAGGAGAAATCTTAAGACATGTTTTAACCTTAACTTTTTACTTTTCAAACATTGTCCATTTCTAAGTGGACATGCTGGAGAAGTGGACAAAATCCTGGACAATTGGAAGAGTTATAAAATGAGTGTGCCAACATATGGAGGAATTCTGCTAGATCCAGAGATGAAATACGTAGGTAGCCAACAATATTTTACAAGAAATAGTACATGTGTATATATCTTTATTGCTGATGGAGGGAATTTTACATCTGCAGTAGAAATTAAATGAAATATTACACATTTATCATTTAATTGTAAAATTTGTATTTTTTCTAGTGTTTGCTTGCCCAGGGATTCTGGACAAAAAGCAGTTGGGGATTCCCTAAAGGCAAAGTAAATGAGAATGAGTCTCCACATGACTGTGCTATAAGAGAGGTAAATAAGAAAAATCTTTTCATTTCCTTTTTTTAAAACAAGAGTTATTTTCCATGGTTCATAATTTGAATGAGAAAGCATTGCCAATTATTTTTATACCTACATTTAAATACAATCTTTTCATTTCATCAGATCAGTAAGATGACTATAAATAAATGGGTTGTATCTACATGTACAGTGTATTTTTTTTTATAGGTATATGAAGAAACTGGTTTTGATATCACTCCACTGATAGACAAGAATGAGTTTATAGAGAATTTTTTTAATGACCAGCTGTCTAGATTGTATATCATTACTGGAGTGGGGCTAGACACTAAATTTCAACCAAAAACAAGAAAAGAAATCAAGGTATTTTTATTTCCTGATTAAGAGTAATATTGCTAATAGAATATTTTGAAAATGTACACTTGTCTTTTGACAGACTGCATGGTGTGGGATTTCCTGTTTGTCTTTCCATCTAGAGTGTATCTGTCTCTCAAGTGAAGGCACTTTCATGTATTGGTCATATCTTTTTGTGAGGCCTAGGATCATTAAACTCAGTCACTTTGTGTGCCTTTAAGGGAAGATGTTTCACAATCAAAAAGGAGGTCACAGTGACCCAGTTTGGGATTTTAAGGCTATACATGGATATGTTCAAAACATGTTCAAATCATATCCTGCAGACAGTGAAGCTTCAAATCATAAAATCTTGTTAGCTGATGTACAGTGTATCTTCCATGATGGATTCAACTGTATCAAATAAATCAAGCTGACACTTTGATGCCTGATTATATAGTCCACCTGTTTTTTTTTTGAGATCTTAAGGGACATATTTTGTAATTTTGTAAAGTTTTTGTTAGTACTTTTGATGTAAGAGTGTTTTTCTGTTAATCCCTGTTAAAGAAAACTAAATTTATAGACCACCAAATTTTTGTGAGACCTTATTTTTGTGAGAGAGGTACTTGGTACTTATAAGCGGAACAAAATTTTCAAAAATTATGGTTACTGCTCTATATAAGCTATGCTATTAAAATTATATGCAAAAATGAAATTTTTGTGAGCAGACAGTCTCACGTAATTACGTGAAAATAAAGTTCTCGCAAATAAAAAGTGATTTACAATAGCCTTAAGAGATAGAGAGCAAATGATAGGTGCAGTCATCTTCCATCCTTCTGTAAAACCAGATGATGTACATGTACTGAACTTTGTTAATTTATCAAAATCAAATCATATTTGACCTTTAACTAATATTTCCATAATGTGCATGTGAATCTTCTTTAGTATATTGTAAATTTATAATTTTTTCCTAAAACTTCATACTAAATTCTGAATTAATTGAAAGCATCCCATCTGTGCCATATTTTTGACATTGTCTAGGACCTTTGGCTTCAACAATACTGTAAAGATATTTATTTTAGTTGTACATGTAATTATATTTTAGTGCATTTCTTGCTTCCTCTTGTCTGCTAGTTCAAGTACACACTAATTCGCATCATTTTAAACACTCAAGTGTGCTAATTTATGATTTCACTAATCAGTTAAATAGGGAGATTGTGCTAAATTTTAAGTGAGGAAATTTATGTATATTTACAGTATCTAAAAACTACTGTTTCCCAAATAGCTGTATAAATGTAACCCAGCATGGGGAACTGGTTTATGAATATTTTGATTTTTTTAGAGTCTTCAATGGTTTCCTGTAGATGTCTTGCCAGCTCACAGACGGGACCAAACACCCAAATCCTTAGACATGAATCCCAATAACTTCTTCATGGTTATCCCTTTCATCAAGTAAACTATTTCACACTTATAAATTTTTTTCCTATGGGAAAATGAACAAGTTCTAGCATTATAAAATAATTTGATTTCTCAAATGCAATAGAAGTGCATAGCAACCAAACTTTGTGTGTTAATTATTGTTGCATGCATGATCACTTGTCACAATGAGAAATTACAGGAAAATTCTTAAGTGAGTTTTTAAGTAATTACAGAAAATAACTCTAAGCATCTAATAAGTATGCAGGGGTCATATTTTAGTTTTTGCTTCTTAGACCACTTAGGAAATGGATATCTAAAAAATCAGGACACGCTCATTTCAACATCATGGATGCTGAACTTGATGTAAAGGGAGGCAATATATCGGTGCCTAAACAAATGAAAATGAGAGACCAACCAGAAGGGAATACAAGACAATTTAGTGAAGGCAGGGCCACTCAAAGAGACAAACAAAAGCAGAAACTGCAGCAGTATTTTGCTCAGCAGAATCAAAATGAATTCCAGGAATATATGCAATACAAGGAAAAGAAACAACGTTCTGATTCTCCACGGAAGGAAGCGGGAAAAACACAAGGGATAGAGAACAAATCACCTAAACCTAAAAAACAACAGTATTCTATCTTGGTTTGTATATTAAAAAGTTTTATGGAAAATTTTTATTAATTCCATTCTTTTTTATGTTCATTGTGTACATTTGTAACTTCAGTGTATTGATTGTTATTTACTACATGTAAATATCAATCACACCAACTCAATCCTATCAGTAATTTGTGACTGGAAAGGGCGAGTTTGTTCTGATCCACTAAATAAAATACTTTTTATTTAAAGAACTTTATTAAACATAATGATGAAAGGAAAAAGTTAAGACTTTGAATACTGAGAGAAAAAACTGGAAAGTGATACTGTATACAGGAAATTTTCAACCCTGTTTTATTTTTGCCGCTTTTGCCCTATTCAAAGTTCAGCAATTTAAAAAAAAAGGCGAATTTAAAAAAGGCAGTATAATTTCTTAAATTATGACTGGACGAATTTAAAATGGTGATAAATTGTTTGCAAGTGTGAAAGGGCGAAGATAACACAGGGCAAAAATAACCTTGTATACAGTATGTAAAATTTTAGTGCTGTAAAACTTGTTTATATACGTTGATAATCTATATTAAATGAATTTTAATTAGAATCGTGATGGTACTGTGACTGGTACACAGCCCAGTTTACTACAGAGTCCCCAAGGTCAAAATACTCCATCTGGAGGCCAGTCAAAAAGAAATTTAGGCAGCTATTTCAATAGTCCAGGTACAGTGAATTATTAAAAAGATACATGTAAAAGTCACAAAAAGAGAAAGACTAGCATCTGTAAACTGGTCTCAATCATTTGAGCTTTTGAAGCTGATTATGATGTGTGCAATTACTTTTCAAGTCATTGATAAATGTATATCTAAATCAGGACAACACAAATGGTAACTCATATACATGTTGATATTTGTATTGATGCATCTTTTTAGTACCATTTAAAGGTTGTCTTAATTGGATATTAATTTCAATATTAATCTTTTTTTCTCAGGTAGCTACCAAGGTCCTAGACAATCAAATTTTAACAATAGTGCATCAAAATCTTCCCAAGCAGGAAATGTGATTGAAGAAAATAAATCTGTTCAACAGAGACAAAGAAAGTATAAAAAGATAACAGACCCTGATGGACTAGGATCAGAAACATGGCTAAATTTCCATCTGGACGTGGATGCTATCATGGCATGTCTGCCTTAGATGTATATACATTTTATGTAGAAACAGCATATTTTTATGCTTTCATCAGATATTTGAATTCTTATGTGTTGAGAGTTTTCCAAGGATATGTTGAAGTGCACTTCAATGGCATGAAATTATGCTGCAATTAGGAGTGGCTATGGCTGAAGATTCATTACATCACAGAAACTAGGCAGGAGTTCTGCTCTTGACTCTGATGTTGATGTTGAAAGAAACTCTACAAGAATTTCTTACAAGGTTCAACTGAATTTTTGCTCGTATCTTTTGTAAGGGGAACAAAGAATTTGTAATGTACATGTATCAGTATGAACTTTTCCATCCAACTTTGAGAACTAAGCTAATCAAGAAAAAATTCTTGTTTTTTAAAAACCTTTTTTTTTTTTTATACTTTTATTTATTAAGTTTTTGAAAGGTGTACTTTCTTGATATAAATCTTTAAAAAAAACATTGATGTGATTATTTATTTGTACAATGAAACAGAACTGTGTTTATACCATAGTTAACATGTCCATTCTCAATTTACAATTGAAAACAAATTGAAACAAGCAAATTCAAAGAATTGTGGTCCCCTACTTTCGGTGTCTTAGTGGGTGAGATGCCATTATTTATGGGATATTGTGTCAAATATGAACGCCCTATCATATGTCATTCAAAAGTAATCACCAAAGTTAATTTTTTTGAAAATTAGGTCAAACATGAAGGTCAAGGTCAAGGGGTCAAAAATCAGAGAATGCTCAGAAACATCTTGTCACAGGTAATCCACATGTCAAATATGAAAGCCCTATCTCTTCTCAATCAAAAGTTATATGGAAAAATAACATTTTTTTAAAAGTAGGTCAAATGTCATGGTCAAGCTCACAGGGTCAAAAATCATACTATATTTAGAAAGGTCTTGTAACAGGTAATATACATGTGTAATATGAAAGCCCTATCTTTTCTCTTTCAAAAGTTATGACCAATTAAAGCGATATTAAAATTTTTGAAAAGAAGGTCAAAGTCAAGGTCATGGGGTCAAACATCATAGCATATTTGGAAAGGTCTTGTCACCAGTAATGTACATGTGAAATATGAAAGCCCTATCTCTTCTCATTCAAAAGTTATGACCAAGGTTAACATTTTTGTGACAGATGGACAGATGAAGGCAAAAGCGGAGGACAACGAAAGAAGAGGCAGGGCTTTTAATAAGAGGTGGCAGGAAGCAATTTATTGAAATTCCATTTCAATGATTGAAATTCACTGCTTAATTGGCAAAGTAAACCATAGGGAGTAATTCTAAAACAGCCTCCTCAAATGGATAAATTCAACTTTTCACTGCAAAATTAATAAAAGCCCCAAGAGGGTTATATTGGGAAACCAGAATTGTCAAGTGATAAACCAAAAGTTTATGCCCTTGATGTTGAAAAAAGGAGGGAAAATATTGTTTGTGGACTCTGTCTCTTGGTCTGTCTGTCTGACCTTCTATATCTGTTGCCTTTGGTTATAAATTTCATGTCAAATTAGATATTTTAAGTTTACCTGAGCCAAAGGCTCAAGTGAGCTTTTCTTATTGAAGGGTGTCCAGCATCTGTCTGTTGTCTGAGTAAACTTTTCACATTTTGACTTCTTTGAAAGAACTACTGGGCCAATTTCAACCAAAATTTCAACCAAACTTGTCAGAAAGCATCATTGGGTGAAGGGGATTTAAGTTTGTGCAAATGAAGGGCCAAGTCCTCTTTCTAAGGGAGATAATTAAGAATTAGTGATAATTTAATGGCATCTTCTAAAAATCTTCATCTCAATAACCAGAAAAGATGAAAGTTAACTTATGTGAAAGCTTCACTACATAGTGTAGATTCAAGTTTGTTCAAATCATGACCCAAGGGCTAGGGCTCAGGTAGTGTAGATTCAGTTTCTTCAAATCATGATCCCTGAATGTAGGGTGGGGCCACAATGGGCAATCAAAGTTACATAGGAATATGTATGGGAAAAATCTCAAGAGCAGCAGAGGCATGATTAATCATATTGGTATGGAAGCATCCTAATGTGTTGTAGTTTCAAGTTTGCTTAAATCATGACCCTCAAGTGTAGGATGGGGCAGCAGAAGAGGTTCAAAGCTTACATGGAAATAGCCTCTCAAGAACAATAGGTCTTTGATAAGACATATTAATATGTAAGCATCTTTATGGATGGTTGTACAGATTCAAGTTTGTTTAAGTCAGGGCCCCTGGGTTTACGATGGGGCCACAATAAGAGATAAGATTTTATAAAGAATAAATGTACTAGGATAATAATTCAGAAATCTTCTTCTCAAGAACAGCAGGGCCATGATTAGGCATATGAATATGCAAGGATCATCAGGTAGGACAGATTCATTTTTTCCCAATCATACTCCCAACAGAAATGGGGCCACAATTAGGGATCAAATTTTTATTCAGGAATTTATAGGAAAAAAACGTTAAAAATTTTTCTTAAGAACAGCAGAGCTATAATTAGTCATGTATAATATGGAAGCATCCTTATGTAGTGCAGATTTAAGTTTGTTCAAATCCTGGCCTCTGGGATAAGGTTAGGGCCAAAACAAGAGATAAAATTTTTCAGGAATATGTAAGAAAAATTCTTCTTGAGAACAGCAGGATCATGATATACCATATCCTCAGGTAATGCAGATTTTGAGTTTATTCTAATCATGGTGCTTGGGGAGGGTGGGGTCACAATTGGAGATGAATGAAAAAATAGGAAAAAATCTTTAAAATTTAATTGTTTGCATGGGGTTGTCATATATCGAGATATTTTATATAATGTTCTTTATTTCATTTACTCATGAAATTATAGGGGGAACTGCATAATTTAAATATGATAACTAATAATGAGTTCTCATCGGACTGTAAAGTGTATATGATATAAATCTAAAAGCCAGTTCCATGAGGACCCAATTTTGTCCTAGCGTGAAAAATACTAGTACTTAGGTGACCATTAAGGGCCATGGGTAATGCCTAGGATCATCAAAACTTGTCATTTCATGCATCCTAGGGCCTCAGTGTGTGACAATCAATAGTAGTTCACAGTGATCTACTCTATGAATTTAGACTACTAAATATTATCTAAATTTGGAACTTTATAGCAAAATATTAAATACTAAGACATTTGGAGTAAGTTAACCTTGTCAGTTGATGCATGAAATATGCATGAAATATGGAGATAACGAACAGTATTCAAGCTCAAAGTCCATTTAGACAATACAAATTGGGAGCAGAGCAAACACGGACCTCCAAAAACATCAGAGGTGGGATCAGGTGCTATGGAGGAGTGAGTATCCCCTGCCGACCTGTCACACCCGCCGTGTGCCCCTTATCATTATGTGGAGAATGGAAAAATCTGCAGACAATTCTGTGTGTAAATACATGTAATGGCCTAACAATTAGTATGAAAAAGGACAGTTAGCATTTTACTTAATGATAGGTTGTATTTGCTGATAAGGTCATTGTATCGACCATAAAACTAAAGATGATTTCAAACGAGACTGTTGATATCCTTGTTTCATCAACTTGTTCGTCAATAGCTTGCCTCGTTTTAGAAATTGTTCATACTTAGAGTATGCTCTTGCGTCTCGAATCAACTGGGAGACAAAAACCCCATATGCAGGTCATAAGGGTATATTGCTACATAAGTAAGGGAAGATGACAATTTAAAAATTGAAGTCATCACGTTTATCATAAAGCTTTGTTGTTAGGTTGTTCTGTTAGGTTATCTTGGTGCCTCAGGGTACATGTATGCCAACCTGATAAAAGGTCAGTGACCTACCTTCAGAATTTTACAGCTTATCACTCTGAAATCCTTACAAAAACATATTAATGGTAATACTGTGACACGTAAGGTCATAAAACTATAGACAATCAATTAGTCTTGGGTTCCAAGGGTGTGTCAACCCAAGAGTACATTAAAGTGTCGTACTTTTTTGAAATTTATCACTACTGATTGTCAAATCTATTTCAAGCTTGAATACTAAGAGGGCAAGGATAATCAAACCTTGTCATGTGATATGCCTTTGTGCCCTGGGATATGTTGAATCAAAAGTAGGTCACAGTGACCTCTTTTTGAATTTTACAACTATCTTTGTAGATAAATACATGTAAATCTAACACTATGAGGTTAAGGATCATCAAGAGTTTAAGATTGATACATGTATATCTTCACCTGTATAAACTTAAAGATAGGTGACAATTTTTTCTTTTGAAATTTGGTGGTGAAAATAATCGCCTAAAAATTTGTATGAAAAACGTCACTCAACAATTGACCTAGATGACAGATTGTAACGTATAGCGGGTCTCCTTTGCAAGTGTATAATTTGGCGTTTTGCTTGCTTAAAGGTATGCCATTAATTTTGGTGTAATTTGTTTTAGGACAAAGGATTCCAACACTTTGCAAAAGAACGAAAAAGAATACTGAATATTTTATCGAATGAAATTTTAGCAGGCTACCAAACGCTAAAATAATCCAAAATTAGCACCCCGCTAAATAAACTCGCTATACGGTATTTGCAAACAATGTCATATTGTATTTAACATAGAATTTGCAAAATTTTGGCTTTAAACAAGATTGTTGATATCCCACTGAATAATCAACTTATTTGTCAATAGCCTGCCTTGTTTTTAGGTAGAACAGCTTCTTGCGTATTGAACCAACTGGGAGACAGAAACTCAACATGAAGCTGATAATGGTATATTGCTACAGAAGTATGCGAAGTCATGCGCAAATTTAGAAAGGGGGGGGGGGGGTCTGCACCCCCCTGAAATTTGCAGAGTTATTAAAAGTATATACTGAAGCAAATGAAAAATGACTTTGGACCCCCCCCCCCCCCCGAAAACGTGGACCATCAGCACCACTAAATAGATTTTTTTTTTTACGTTTTGGGAAATGGATTTTACTTTTTTTTCCTTTCTTTTTTTCTTTTTTGCTTTTTTTTGGTTTGTCAAGAGATTTTCTGGGTTTTATAAGTTTGGGAAGGGAATTTATTTTTTTCTTATTATTTTTATTTATTTATTATTAATTTTTTTTGCTTGTCAAGAAATTACTGGGTTGGAAATTGTTTTTGACTGGGGTGGACCCCCCCCCCCCCCCCGGAAAAAATTCCTGGATCCGCGCCTGGAAGAAAAGTTGAAGTCATCACCTTTATCATAAAGCTTAGTTGTCAATTTGCCATCAGTCTCTTTCTCTTATAAAACACCCAGATATGAAAAAGATCTGTTAGACTCTGCGGTGTCTTTTATTATATTTCGAGTTCAATGGGATATATCGAATTAACGTAGGAATATATATAATTTTGTTAATTGATAAAACAATGTTGATGGCTACATATCGAATTGAAATCTACACCAAATAATTTCTTAAAGGCTAAGTTTTTGAATAAATTTTGATTCATATTAA